AGGGGGGTGGGCAGTGAGGGGGTAAGGGCGTGGGGACAGGGTGTGACAATCTGTCCGTGTGTCCCCCCTGCCCTATAGCTCCTGCCTGGACTGCCTGTGCCTGCCCACGCTGCAGGAGGGGGGTCTATCACGGGAGGAGGTGTGCTGTGGGGTATGTGGGTCCCTTTTGACAGAGGGGCATGGGGGCTGCATGGCGCTCATGTTCCCCTGTGCCCGCTCCAGCAGGGATGCCTCCTGGCAAAGGGCAGATGTCTCCGCTGCTGCCCACCCCGCAGGGCACCCATTGCCCCACGACGGGGGGCTGTGCCCAGCCCCCAGAGGGTCCCGGCATGCCGCAGGGTTACACCAAGAAGAAGAGCCGCAAGCACCAGCGGTTCATGGAGCGCCGGGTGCTGCTGGAGCAGAAGGGGCTGCTGAGCCCTCGCAGACATTTGGGCAGCCAGGCCCCCATGGCGGGGCTGGAGGCATGCAGCAGGCCCACCAAGGTGGGTGGCACCATGACATCACGCTGCAGGAAGGTCCCCAGGTCCAAACAGGTTGTCTCACCATCTCTGTCCCCGTCCGCCTCTCCGGACAGCATAGCCAGGCATCACTCCGTGCTGCTGTCCCAGGGAAACGGCAGCTCCAGAGGGGTGAGGATGTCTTCCCCGCTCCTGCGCCCAGGCAAGTACGTGGCCATTGACTGTGAGATGGTGGGAACTGGTCCTCAGGGCAGGCTGAGCGAGCTGGCGCGGTGCTCCGTGGTGAACTACGAGGGAGACGTCATCTATGACAAGTATGTCCAGCCTGAGCTCCCCATCGTGGACTACCGGACGCGCTGGAGTGGCATCACCAAGCAGCACATGAAGAGTGCAATTCCCTTCAAGACTGCCCAGGCGGAGGTGAGGAAAAAGAGAGAAATTAAAAAAAAAACCAAAAAACAAGGTGTATGTTATCTGCTGGCCACAAATTAGGATATTTGGTGGCCCATGCAGTGTTGCTTTGAGGCAGAGACACAAGCACAGGATGGGGAGCCTCCAAAGCCATGCAGCGGGTTGGTTTGCTTGTTATTGCTCCATTCTGGGAATCTAAAAAACTATAACTGAAGAAACTGAATTTAACACAAAATGATTTATTGTATGTTTAATTAGTGTGTCTTTTGCTGCACCGCCTGTCTAACCCTTTCTGACGCTTCCAGATCCTGAAGATCTTGAAAGACAAGATTGTGGTAGGACACGCCATCCACAACGACTTCCAAGCCCTGAAGTACTTCCACCCGAAAGACAGGACCCGAGACACCAGCCGGATCCCTATGCTGAACCAGAGGGCAGGGCTGCCTGGCAGGGCCAACGTCTCGCTCAAGAGCTTGGCCAGGCACCTGCTCCAGAAAAAGATCCAGGTAAGCACCAAGATCCTTGAGATGGGGAGCAGTTCCTGGGTTTGCTACAAGCCTGTGTGATCAGCCTGGTCCTCTGATCTCCATGGGTGCTCCCTGTGAGATGGAGATGAACCTTGTTCATCCTGTGTTCCTGGCTATGATCAAGCTGAGGGAGCCCAGGACCTCCCAAGCTGCCCATTAAGCATCTCAGTAAAGCAGGGACAGGACTTGTGCCCTCCAGAAAGTGCTTGAGATGCATGTATCTCCTGGGCTGCATTGAGCCTTTGCCATCTCCAAAATCCCAAGCCCCCCAGCACTTGTGTCCTTTCAAGCAAGCAGACAGCATGATCTGTGGGATTTTTGCTGCCCCCTTTATCTAATGAGGCTTTTCTTCCTTTGCTCAGGTCGGCTGTAAAGGACACTCATCGGTGGAGGATGCTCAGACAGCCATGGAGCTGTACAGACTGGTGGAGGTGCAATGGGAGACAGAGCTGGCCCGTAGTCTGCCCCCCCGGCCCCCCAGCCCCGTCACAGACCCCACCACAGACAGCAACCAGTACATGGATGACCAGTACTGGCCCACGGACCTGATGGCAAGTGGCCTGTGATGGGGGACAGTGTTGCCTCCATATGTTTCAGGCCATCCAAGTGCCTTCGGCCGTTAAAGGTGGAGGCAGCTGCTGACCTCCTTCCCTGTGCCCCACGGGCTCTGCCTGGCACCCAGCCCCACTGCAGGCAGCAGTGCAGGGGAGTCAGATGTCCCCAGCCCTGCTCAGGGATGGAGAAGTGGGGGCACATTGACACCATCGATCTCCCAAAAATGCTGTCTGCAGCCTCTTGCTGTCCCACAGAAATAAGCACTGTGGCTGCGCCATGTTCATCTGTCGGTGCTCGGGGATGAGCAGGGTCCTGGTGCCAGCCTGGAGGAGCCCCTGTGGGTGTGCGATGGCTGCGGTGGTGGGCTGAGGCTGCCAGGGCACATCCCATCCCCTCTAGGAAGGGGATACCCCCATGCTGGGTGAGTGGCAAATTTTCCTGTGGAAGGACTGAAGTGTCTTTCTGATGCCCAAAGGCTGCAAACCGTCTGGGGTCAGTTAAACAACCAGTTTCCTCTCCACTTTCTTTGCACAGTGAAGCCTGAAAAGAAAGTCTGGGTCTAATCAATGTCCAGCCTGGACAAGAGCATAGGATGCACTTCATATTAAATAGACTACTCACATATTTGTCCAATTCTGAACTAAAAACTGTCCTTGCAAAACCCTTGTGTGTGTGTTGCATGACCTGATCTGGCAGCTCTCGAGGAGGAAGAGAGCAGGGGTGGGATTGGCAAGGAGTGGGTATGCGCTGCCTGAGTCCTGTGCTGCGTACCAGCGCTTAAAACCCACCTGCAACCAGAAAAGGTGCTTTTGGGGGGTGTGATGGTGGCTGGAGTAAGCAGTTCCTCAGGGTATGGGCTGGTGCCCTCTGCTCTGGGGACATCTCTGTGAAGGCAGGAGGAGCAGGGGATGGGCTGAGCCAGAGCCCTGTGGTCCAGCGTTGCCTGCTGTTCCGAGAAGCCTCGTTGCAAGAGAAAGCACCCTGCTGTGCCATCCTCCGGCAGCTGGGCTGTCCCAGCTCTGGGAGCTGCCTGTGTTAAGGAGAGGAACTTGGGATTTTCCTACTGTGCAAGACTGTGTCCCTGTGCCCAGGGGCTGGGAGTGAGAGCTCTGTGGGGTGGGCTGCTGGGATGGTGTGGGGATGGGGTGATGCTCACCTGCACTGGCTCTGCCCACAGGATGCTGCTTTGTGTACGAAGTACGTGGGTACCTGTGGCTGCACAGATGTGCCCCAGCTGGGGGTGTGAGCACCAGAGTGGGGCTTGGGGCTGGGCACGGGGAGTCGACACTTCTCTGGGGAACTGAACAGCCACGGTTATAGAAAATGGATATTGTTTTGCCGGGTGCTTCAGGGCTGAGGCCACCTCTTTTTCACAGGGATCCCCCAGTCCTGCTGCTCAGGCTGAAGACGGGAGGGGGCTGGAGGGCTGCCAGCACCCCGGGGGCTTCCGAGAGCCTGGCCGCGGCACAGTACAGCAGCCAGCACTGAAATGCAGTCTGTGTTCCCCCATGGCCAGGCTAGACGGGTCCCTGGCTTTTCCTGGTGGCCAAGGGAGGCAAGGGGAGCTCAGCCCCAGCCTTGGGAAGTGGCCAAGGAGCCGGGTGACGCAGGCGCACCTGACGCATGTATCAGTGCCATTACAAGAGGCATCTTGCACTTCCCATCTTAACTCCTCCCTGCCCGGCAGAGGAAGCCGAGGACAGCTCAGAAATGCTCCAACACACATCAGATGTCTCTAAAAAGCTCTGCCCTGCGGGTGGCCCGAGCACAACTGTCTTTCAACAGAAACAGTATTAACGTGGGCTGCGTCATGAGCTCATGGTCTAGGCACTCTCCTCCAGACCTGGTAGGAAGTGTGGCCCCACAGTAGATCTTTAAATCCTGCTCATGGAAGTTTGTCCCAGGCACGTTCCTGATTGCAGCGAGCTGTAAAACCTGGCATGCAGCTCAGCTGAGCCCCAGCGCGATGCTGTGCAACGTCAGCAGGACCTGGCAGGGTACAGGAGGGACCTGAAGCCCATGGGGGCACCCAGGGGGGTGCAGGAGGAACGAAGCTGGCACAGGTTTTTCCTCCATTTCCTCCTCTGCCATTTCCACCCTTTCTGAGGCAGCAGGAGGGAAGCAAAGCTGTGGGAAAGGTGAGAGGAGCTCAGTGAGTCAGCAGACAGCACCATCAGAAGATGGTGGCATCCCAAAGCTGGCGAAGCTGCACTGGCTGCCTTCTGCTCCGGGGAGAGCAGACCCAGAGGAAGGGCACAGCGGGGAGGTGCTGGCCAGTAACCTGGCCAGTATAACTGTATCCCCTCGGCGGGGTCGTGGGGAGCTTGTACAGGGCACCCACGGCTTGTTTGTCCACTTGACCCCCGCCTTGTTGTCCCCTGCAGCCTGCCCTGTCCCGCTGTCCCATAGCACTGACTTGCCCTAAGCCATGCGATGGCTCGATGTGAGACACTGGTGTGTTGGGGTGAGGTTGGAGAAAGCTGCCAAAGGAGGTGGAAGGCCATAAGGCTTTATCAGCCCGTGACTCAGCTGGCCTCGCTGCCAGCCAGCGGCAAGGAGAAGGCATAATTAAGGAAAAAAAAAAACCCTATTTCTGAAGTCTTGACCATTCAAACACTTTAGTGAGACCCACTTCCAAAAGTAAGCCTGGGCTGGGCTTCAGGCAAGCCACAGATTTCTTTAAGCTCTTGTCCCCCCCCAGTTTTTTCCCTGCCTGCCCATAGCAGAGCTCCCCAGCCTGCCTGCACAGCTGCCTGCGTGCCTCCTGCCAGCACAGCCCGGGCTTGCACAGTGCTATGAGATGCTGCGAAGGTCCCAGGCTGCCTCTGAGAGCTCGTCCCTGTCACCACCACACTGATTTAACCTCCCTGCTGAAATACCCCCCTGCTTTAGGGGCAAATTTGAAGGCAGCAATGCAGGCAAAGGCTGGCTGCCCTTTGGTGCTCACATGTCCTGTAAGCTTTGCTTCTGTGCCATGATCTCCAGCTCTGGGGGAAGCTGAGAAACAAATCTGGGGGGTCAATTCCCATTTACATCAGATTTGAAGGTCTGGAAAACCCTCGATATTGTGCTCTGCAGCCCCCCCAGCCCCTCGAGGCAGAGCTGCTGAGGAGCAAACCCCACCATGGATGAGGAGAGGTGGTAGCAACTCGCTCCCTATTGACGAAGCGATGTTGGCTCTGAATAATCTGAATGGCAACTTTTGTCCTGTTTGCACCCAGTGATCCCTTCAAGAGGTAATCAGGATTTTCACAGGTGTTTGTGAATATTCAGCTACATGCCAGGGAGTTGCTATGGCTGAAAGCAGCCAACCCTCGCTCTGGTTCGTCACCCAACAGCCTGCTGATGCTCGTGCTGGGAGGCTCAGCATCTTTAGGCGGACTGAGCATCTTTAGGCAGGCGAAGGACAGCTGGGCGGGCTCACCATTTACGCTAAATTTCATGATAATTGAAGAATCTGCCGAAAACCCAGTCGTTGTCTCAACGACCCTGAATAATGATTAACCCAAACCTATGAATCCAGCAATGGGCTTTTTTATCAGAGGGAAAACATTGTCAAATGAGTTTTTCCAGCCAGCTGCAAGAGCAGGTAACTGATAAGCCTGTCATTGGAGTGGGGCTGAGCCAATGGCAGCGGATGGTGACGGCTTTTACTTCTGTCTAGCAACAGCTTCTCCTTGAGCTGCAGACGGCGATTCAATGCTTTCCCTTGCTTTTATTGAGCTCCTCCCTTCCTGCCCTCCTGCTACACAGAGATTTTCATGGGGGACACTCAGAGACTGAGTTTCGCACGGATTGTCCATGGTTTTCTGCACATTTTCAGTGTCTATTCCTATCCGGCATGACGAGAGCTTTGTCACTGTAAAAGAAGATGCGTGCCCCCATCCTGCTCACATCCTGGGCTCTGCTCACATGCCTTGTCTGTGCACCTGGGGTTCTGCTTTTGCTGGGTGGGTGTTGGACACCCGTAGGGTACTTGCAATGGCACCATAGCAGAATAACAGCTGTGAGCAGGAGACCCCATGCCAGGGATGTGTCTGACCCTCCCACCCTGCATCCCCAGTGCCTGGCCATGGTCCAGCACCTTTCCCGGGCTGTTTGCATGGGGACCACAGCTACGAGCAGCATCCCTGGATCAGGGCACGCCACAGCACATGGGGAGGGTTTGCTTTAATGCTAGCTCTGGTTATCACAGCATGGGTGGTTAAAGTGCCACGTAAGCCCCAAATGTCTCAGGCTGGAGCAATGTCAGTACCTAATAACAGCCCAGAGCAAGCCCCTAACCTGGGACAGTCTGTCCCCTCGCTGTGGGTACACAGAGGGACAATTCACCCCATTTTCAGGCAGAGTGGAGGCTTCGCTCAGGCGACTCGCTGGAGACCAAACCAGTCACAGTGGAGGGAGGAACAGCCCTCCCTATGCTCCCCACCCCATCGGTACCCCAACCACCGTTGCCCCTCTCCTCTCCACCCTGAGCGTGAATTAGAAGGCAGAAAACTTACAGCCAGCTATAAATTAAAATCTCAGGAGCCTTAATAACCTTCTTGGCCGGAAGAAGTGAATAGGTGTGATGTGGAAATGAATAGGCACATCTGGCAGCTGCTTAGCACTTCAGCTGCAGGAGGGGTATGCATGTGCATGTGTGTGTGTGCGTGTGCAAACCGCCAGCACAGCCTCCCGGATTGGCTGTAAAACCCCTTCTCGACCAATGCGAGGGACCAGGGTGGCCTAGCAACAGCCTTTCCCTAATGAAAAACAAGCCACTTGAGCATCGTGACTGTGGATGAGAGGAAAAGGCACAATTCCTGGTGTGCCCCATCCTCCCCAGGGAGCCGGGCCTAAGGGGGGCTGCAAAGACTGCACCCAACGGGCTGGGGCGGCCCGACCTGAGCACCCGTGCACCCCTTGGTCTCTGCTCTGCGGATGCATCGGGTGCATGGGAAGGGTTTGATGCAGACACAACCCAAGGAAGCCCCTGGGGAAGAAACCACCCTCCCGCTCAGCCGTGGCT